CAGGCTGCAACAACTGAGTGATAAGCTGCTGGTCAGCAGGTGGCGCCCGGGCAGGGCCACCTGCTGGACTGGCAACAAGGTAATGCTGCCTGTTTAGCACATGCTGTAGGTTGGCTGCCCTCCTGCCAACATCCATAGCATTGAAGGCCGCCAAACACACGACACGCCACACGCATGTGAGCACACTCCGCCCACCATGCGGCGGTTGCATGAGCCAAATATGCTGCATACTTAAGCTGAGGATCCAGGCGTGCGAGTGCACCATGCTGTGGGAGCAGATTGATTGAGGAGAGTTACATGGGTGTGCACGTTGGAAACGGAACACTTCGAGGACTGCAGCGCGCAGGACATGAGAATAAACCACAAAAAGCCTCAGAGAAGCAATTTGCAGCTTCCTCACCCAAAATAACACAAACTCTGCGCAGAGAAAAAGCATCAGGACGGAACAAAAGGTGTCAATGTCAGCGAAATAGGATTGGAACATGCAGACATGGCAACAACTAGCAGGTACTGGGCACCTCGGTGCTCCTGCTTCAGGTGTTGAAGACATTGTACAACATGATGATCAACATGATCAAAACTCTCTGCTACCAGGACGCGCACAAAGCAACAGCATAACCCGCAGCGCCGTGGCACCACAGGCACCTGCCACCCTACTGATGTGTCTGGCAAGGCCACACCCCTGGCAATGGCACCTGCCCAACACACCTACTGGCTGACACAGGCTGCATGAGAGTACTAACAGCACAAGACATGCAACCACATGTAGCAAAACGGATCAAAGAGCAGAGGATGCAAGAAATAACCCCAATTCATGCTATGACGCAGAGGCCAAGTCCCTTCTTGGTGCTAGCTGCAGCCGGCCTTCAACCACGCGTAAAAAGGGGTGATCAGCTGGCACAATATCCAGCCAGGTCAAGGGTGCCGCCTTGATGACTATGAAGTCAACCAGCAGCTCCCAAAACCTAGCCACCGCCGCCTTCTTCTTCGTCTGCACCAGCTCATCAAGCTCCTGCTGTCGCCGCTGCTGAAGCTGTAGCTGCTGCTGCTCTCTGTGTTGCCTCACTGCCTCATTATGAGCCAGTTGCGCAGCTGAGGGAGTAGCAGGCTGCAACAACTGAGTGATAAGCTGCTGGTCAGCAGGTGGCGCCCGGGCAGGGCCACCTGCTGGACTGGCAACAAGGTAATGCTGCCTGTTTAGCACATGCTGTAGGTTGGCTGCCCTCCTGCCAACATCCATAGCATTGAAGGCCGCCAAACACACGACACGCCACACGCATGTGAGCACACTCCGCCCACCATGCGGCGGTTGCATGAGCCAAATATGCTGCATACTTAAAGCTGAGGATCCAGGCGTGCGAGTGCACCATGCTGTGGGAGCAGATTGATTGAGGAGAGTTACATGGGTGTGCACGTTGGAAACGGAACACTTCGAGGACTGCAGCGCGCAGGACATGAGAATAAACCACAAAAAGCCTCAGAGAAGCAATTTGCAGCTTCCTCACCCAAAATAACACAAACTCTGCGCAGAGAAAAAGCATCAGGACGGAACAAAAGGTGTCAATGTCAGCGAAATAGGATTGGAACATGCAGACATGGCAACAACTAGCAGGTACTGGGCACCTCGGTGCTCCTGCTTCAGGTGTTGAAGACATTGTACAACATGATGATCAACATGATCAAAACTCTCTGCTACCAGGACGCGCACAAAGCAACAGCATAACCCGCAGCGCCGTGGCACCACAGGCACCTGCCACCCTACTGATGTGTCTGGCAAGGCCACACCACTGGCAATGGCACCTGCCCAACACACCTACTGGCTGACACAGGCTGCATGAGAGTACTAACAGCACAAGACATGCAACCACATGTAGCAAAACGGATCAAAGAGCAGAGGATGCAAGAAATAACCCCAATTCATGCTATGACGCAGAGGCCAAGTCCCTTCTTGGTGCTAGCTGCAGCCGGCCTTCAACCACGCGTAAAAAGGGGTGATCAGCTGGCACAATATCCAGCCAGGTCAAGGGTGCCGCCTTGATGACTATGAAGTCAACCAGCAGCTCCCAAAACCTAGCCACCGCCGCCTTCTTCTTCGTCTGCACCAGCTCATCAAGCTCCTGCTGTCGCCGCTGCTGAAGCTGTAGCTGCTGCTGCTCTCTGTGTTGCCTCACTGCCTCATTATGAGCCAGTTGCGCAGCTGAGGGAGTAGCAGGCTGCAACAACTGAGTGATAAGCTGCTGGTCAGCAGGTGGCGCCCGGGCAGGGCCACCTGCTGGACTGGCAACAAGGTAATGCTGCCTGTTTAGCACATGCTGTAGGTTGGCTGCCCTCCTGCCAACATCCATAGCATTGAAGGCCGCCAAACACACGACACGCCACACGCATGTGAGCACACTCCGCCCACCATGCGGCGGTTGCATGAGCCAAATATGCTGCATACTTAAAGCTGAGGATCCAGGCGTGCGAGTGCACCATGCTGTAGGCATATTCTCCACTATGGACTGTACCACCGCTTGCGCAACAGGGCAGTGCCAGTAATGGTGGTCATACCCAGGCATACACGCACCACACAAGCAAGCACGCTGCACGCCCGGCATTCGAGCAGCAGTAGGTACACCATTCAACACCACACGCCAGAACACCTCTTTGATGCGGTTATCCCAGCGCAACTTCCACAGTTTACGCTGCGCAGCGGTCACACTACCAACACCATCCCTAGTCGCTGCTGAATTTGAGTTATTGAGTGCAAGGACCACAAACTCACGTTTCCGAGCCTGCTGCTCAACACGCAAATTACGCAGCTGCAAGGCGGTAGCTGTCTTCACGGACAGCCGCCTGATGGAGCAGGGCTTGCCTGCAGGCAACAAATACCAGCCAAGCCGTGAGACCAGCATGCATTCAACAATTTGTTCTGCCTCAGATGGCACTGCAGGAGCAGAAGGCAGAACAGCTGGCCATCCTGCTCTTGCTGCCTCGCTTGCAGCAGCTTGAGTCCATGCAAGAGGCACATTACACAGCAACAAGTTGAGGTCATCAAACTCGCCCTCAGCATTGCTGCTGTCGCATGGGATCAGAGGGTGGGGCAGTTTGGCTTGTACCACACGTTCAATCACACGATGAGACCTAATCAAATCCCCAAGTGTACGAACGGTGGGCCTGACCTTCCCGCCCGTGTAGTAGAATGCATCTCTAGCCGGCGGAACAGGCAACACATGCAAACCACCCGGCCTAGCACCAGGGATACCCCCAAGCAGGAAACAATTGGCAAAGACAGGGGCCAGAGCACACCAAGGCCCAGGCTGTAGAACCGGGGCACTGGAAAGAACAGCCATCTGCTGGCGCAATTGACCCAAACCTGGGGACGGCTGCCCTGGAGGCAGGGGCGGCTGCGTCTGCAAAGGCTGCTGCTGCTGCTGCTGCTGCTGCTGCTGCTGCTGCTGCTGCTGCTGCTGCTGCTGCTGCTGCTGCTGCTGCTGTTGCGGCAGCGTATGCCTCTGCTGTAGCGGCAGCGCTTGCTGCTGCCGTGGCGGCAGCGGTTGCTGCTGTTGTAGCAGCAGCGGTTGCTGCTGTTGTAGCGGCAGCGCTGGCTGCTGTTGCTGTTGTTGCTGTTGTTGTTGCGGTTGCTGCTGCTGCTGCTGCTGCTGCTGCTGCTGCTGCTGTTGCACATCACACACATCCCCCAGTGCTTGCAGCCCAGAGATCATGCGGCGCAAAGGTGGCGGCGTTTGAGGGGTTACACGGTGTGCTCAAGCGGCTACGCCACAACGGACACCTGGAATAAAAGGAAGGTGGCGGCGATTGATTGAGGAGAGTTACATGGGTGTGCACGTCGGAGACGGAACACTTCGAGGACTGCAGCGCGCAGGACACGAGAATGAACCACAAAAAGCCTCAGAGAAGCAATTTGCAGCTTCCTCACCCAAAATAACACAAACTCTGCGCAGAGAAAAAGCATCAGGACGGAACAAAAGGTGTCAATGTCAGCGAAATAGGATTGGAACATGCAGACATGGCAACAACTAGCAGGTACTGGGCACCTCGGTGCTCCTGCTTCAGGTGTTGAAGACATTGTACAACATGATGATCAACATGATCAAAACTCTCTGCTACCAGGACGCGCACAAAGCAACAGCATAACCCGCAGCGCCGTGGCACCACAAGCACCCGCCACCCTACTGATGTGTCTGGCAAGGCCACACCCCTGGCAATGGCACTTGCCCAACACACCTACTGGCTGACACAGGCTGCATGAGAGTACTAACAGCACAAGACATGCAACCACATGTAGCAAAACGGATTAAAGAGCAGAGGATGCAAGAAATAACCCCAATTCATGCTATGGCGGCGGTTTGAGGGGTTACACGGTGTGCTCAAGCGGCTACGCCACAACGGACACCTGGAATAAAAGGAAGCTGCGTGCAGCTCAACGCAGGCTGTCACTCAAGGAGGCTCAACCCCCAGGAAAGCCTCTGTGTGTGGGGCCAGACATCAGCCGTGCTCAGCACGACCCGTCGTCCCCATCACACGCAAATGTTGTTTGCTTGGAAGTATATGAGCATGCAAGCAGTAGTCTAAGCAGTGTCAGTGACAGCAATCTATACATGTTGCAGTACAGGAAGCGGGCTGAGCTGATGAGCATGATGCTGACTCAAGGGCAGATCAGACTCAAAGCAGCGGTGAGGAAAGAAACAGCTGAAAGCTGGCCAGCTGCTGAGGTTTTGTCATGGCTGCATATCTCAACAGGCATGCAGTGACCCCACATACACCCACTTTAGAGTGGGGCTGGTGGCTTCCAAGAGATAGGCAGGGAGAACGCAGCAACACACATATGCATGCCCGTGCAAATCACCTGCGGACTACACGTAAGCCATTGCCGCGCAGCACTATGGCGGCGGCCGCCCTTCCAAAAAAGTTGTATCGGCGGTTCATAATGTTAGAAAACCACTGTTTGGATCATCGTTTCCTAATTCGTGGCCTTCACCGGCCCCCTGGACACTACTGGCTCTATAGTGTAGTGGTCATCACACTGGACTCTGAATCCAGTGACCCCAGTTCGAACCTGGGTAGGGCCTTGCTTTGGTTTTACCGAATTGCCAAAGTAGGGCCGCTGGCCCACCCGCAAAGGAGCCAAACAAGGATCATGGGGTCCACAAAATTCAAAAGAAGAGCATCAACCGAAAGAAACCGCAACCTCAACAAGCTCAGAGAGCTCAGAACTCAGAGAATCAGTAACCTTGTTGTTTTTGTTGTACTTGCTTATAGTGACGGAGGCTTATCCAATTGCCATCACCGAGGACCACCCTGCTGCGCGCCGTAAACTTGTTGACACTTGTAAACAGACACGTGATTTCCAGCGACCCAGGCAGTTGTAGACAAACGTATAACCCCTCAAATCTGTAAACAAACTCGTAATTGCCAGCGACCCAGCAAAAAGAGAGTAGCCTAACGAGAGTAAGGGACTAAGGGCTGCAGGAAGATACACTTTGCGAAGCACCGTGCATTGTGACAATGCAGCATATGTGGCACACTCACATGTTGATTGGGGCCCCATCACCATGGCTGAAAACTTTGTAAGGGCTATACGTAGGTACAAGAACTTGTACGGTAGCTACAGCCACTGCTGCATCATGGACCACATGAGGTGCTGGCAGAGATCCCGGCACTGCAGCGATGGCAGCCTCTGTCGTGTCCACGCCGTGAAGCAGCCAGCACATCATGCTTACTGAAAGGTGTTCACATGCTCAGCAGCTGCCGGGGCCACAGTGTTGGTAACAGTTGCTCATCAACAGCGACAGTGACACTGACTGGCTGCAGCAGCGCCAGCAGCCCGTTGACAGTCAGCAGCATGGCCACACCACGATGGCGTCCTTGCGCACAGTGCCGAGATTCTGGCCTCAAAGCCGACGTCCTGCAGATTGCAGGCCTCTGTTGATACCGTAGCATCTCCCGACTCCATTGCACCACAAACCAAAGCAACCATTGTTTGCGGCAGGCCTACTGCTGCCCCGTCAGCTGCTTGCAGGCAGCCATGATGGCCAGTGATGCCCCCTTCGGCACTTCCAGGTCGGTGTAGTCCTGCCGTGTCATCAGCGCCAACACGCCCACTGTGCTGACCATCTCGTCCTCAAACAGGCAGCTCAGTTGAGGGAAGCCCAGCTCAGCCAGCAGGCCAGACACAGGCATGGAGGCCCACGCTGCTGCTGAACGTGCTGCACCGCCAGCCACCGCTGCTGCTGCTGCAGGCGGCTGTGAGTTGTCCGGCAAAGCGTTGCTGGTTGCAAGGCTGCCAGCTGCTGCGGTACTGCTTGTGCCTTGAGGTCCATCCTCTGCTGACTCAGCAGCAGCAGCACCAGCAGCAACACCACCTGCTGTGTGGCTGCTGCCGGTCTGTGGCAGTGACAGTGGGGCATTGCCTGCGCTGCCACACCTGCCTACAGCTGCCGCTGCTGCTGCTGCACCAGTGACTGCCCCCGGACTTGCTAACTGGTGCAGCTCCTGCCCAGCGGCTGCTCCATCAGCCATTGCTGTGACAGCAAATGGGCTGGGCTTATCAACTGCTGCTGCTGCTGCTGCCGCTGCTGGTGTTACACCTGAGCTTGCAACCATACCCTGCTGCTGCTCAAGCTTCACACGCACGGGTGGTGCAGCAGCAGCGGCAGCAGCAGCAGCACGTGCCGTTGCTGCTGCCAGCGCTGCAGCCGCATAGGCTGGCAGCTGGCATGCATCCGGCTGCTGCTCCTGCTTCACAGTGGGGCCGTCACTTGGCACAACAGCTGCTGCAGCACCAGCTGCTGCTGCTGGTCCACTGCTGACCGTGAAGGTGATGGTGTGGCTGCCGCTGCCGTCGTCTGCTGCTGCCATGGCTGTGATGCTGCTGCCATCCAGCTGCTGCAGCACAGGCAGCAGCGCCTGGCTGCGCAGCCTGCAGCAGCAGACCAGGCAGGGGCGCACAAATTTTGCTTAATGCTCACCATCGTGAGGGAGGTGACCGGTGACTAGCGAGCAGTGACAGTGTTTCCCACACAGTACATAAGCAGGCACGCGATCAAACCCTGCTGATGCTGATGTGGCTGCGGTCTGATACGCTGAGGTTTTTGGAGACCGCACACACCATCCTCAAACAGCCCGCCCTGCCCACCTGATGGTGCCGCCGTCGCCGCTCCTCAGGCCACGCACCACCACAGGACCCTCAGCAGGGAGCAGCAGCACCTGCTGCTGCTGCTGCTGCTGCTGGCAGTGCGAAGCGCAGCGCCACCTTGGCCACTGCTGCGGGCTGCAGTGCCACCTGGGGCAGCCGGGCATGCCACGCTGCTGCTGGCAGCTCCAGGCCCTTGGCGGACGCGGCGATGGGGATGCACAGCGCTGGCGTGGCCACGCAGCCGACACCTGCTGCTGCTGCTGCTGAGTTCGCTGCACTGTCACCCGCTGTGTCAGCGATGCGGTACCTGTCAGCAGCTGCCCCTGCTGTTCCGTCAGGCAGCTGCTGGCGACCTGCCGTCGCATCTGGGTGATCGCGCAGCTGCAGTGCAGGCACATCGCTGTGGGCACAGCGCTGGCCACCTGCCCATGGCTGCTGCTGTGGCGGCAAGGCTGGACTGCGTGCTGCTGCTGCTGCTGCTGCTGGCTGCTGGCTGCTGCAAGAGTTCAACCTGGCCTACTTCTGGTTCCCTGGCTGCTGCTGCTGCTGCTGCCAAGCAGGACGCGGGTGCACGGCATCTTCCTGCCGACACGGCTGCTGCTGCTCCTGATGGCGACATGGCCACTGCTCCCCTGCCTGCTGCAGCTGCTGCTGGTGGTGCCTGGCGTCGTTGCTGTCGAGCGCTGCGTGTCTGCTGCCGTGCGGGGCGCCTGGCTGCATCCACTCGGGGTGGAAGTCGCCGCGGGCGTCAACAGGCACGCTGAAGCGCCTGAACACCTCCATGCGCTCCAGGTACCACCCTGCGCACAAACACAGCCGGCAGCAGTGACAAGTAACACACAAACGCGCGGGGCGGAGCAGCTGAGCTGAGCTGCGCTGAGCTGGGGTCATGACTATGGCTTGCCGTCTCCGGCAGCAACGTGCGAGGGCCACGCCACGGTGACGGTACGCGGCGCCAGTTGCGGCTGCAGCTGTGCTGCCGGCTGCGAGTCTGTCAGCAGCTGGGAGGTGCTCGCGTCAGGCAGCGCAGTGGGCAAGCAGTGCCGGGGCTGCCAATAGGTGAGCCCACACAGCCCAGTGTGCGGCATGGCCAGGCAGCGACCATTCAGAGCAGCGCTGGCGCAGGCACGGCATGCACAACAGAACAACCACACAGCACAAAAGAAGCACAGCTAGCAGCAGCACTTCCTGCATCCTCCTTGACACTGCGCATGACACGGCCATGCAGATGTACACAGACGCCACGGCAGTGCTCACATGTTGGCTGCTCCTGGTGGTTGCTGTGCAATAAAACAGCACAAGACAAGCACAGCTAGCATAAGCGCTTCCTCAATCCTCCTTGACACTGCGCATGACAAGGCCATGCAGGCTCCACAGCAGCGCTCACATGTTGGCTGCTCCTGGTAGTGGCTGTGCACCTTGCTGCAGCGCTCGCCGTGCCGGCAGCTGCCCATCACCCCAGACCAGAAGCGACAGCCGCTGTCGCGCTTCTGCTTCCATCGGCTGTCCACGACTGCAAGCTCAGCATACAGCTGCTTCCGCCGCTGCTGGTGCTGCTGCCAGCCAAGCTGCTGCTGCTGCTGCTGGTGCTGGTGCTGCTGCGCATTGCTGACCCTGGCGCTGCCTGCTGTTGGGGCTGCTGCTACAGGCTGGGCTCCGTCCCAAGGTGCTGGTAACGGCTGTCCAGGGTAGCGCTGCTGCCGCTGCTCAGGGTGGCAAATATGCTGCTGCTGCTGACCCCTGCCATGCTCTGGCAGCACCTCATGCGCGCACTGCTGCTGCTGCTGCTGCTGGCTGTTAGGCAGGCTGGGCACTGCATGCTTGCTGCGCTTGCTGTCGCTGTGCGTGCTGGGAGGCCCATCTGTGCTGCCAGCTGGACGCTTGCCAAGTGGCAAAGCATGAGCCTGCCGCTGCTGCTGCAGCTGCTGCTGACGGAAGTGCCGCTGCCGCTCCTGTGAAAAGAGCTCTTGCTGCTGCCGCCGGTTGTCTGCGGCTGCATGCACAGCTGCCACTGGTTGTGTGGGACTGCAGCTCTGCTGCTGCTGCTGCTGCTGCTGCTGTTGGCTGCTGGGCGCAGGGGTGGGGCCGAGCGTGTTGGCCTGGCTGCCCTGCTGCTGGCTGCCGCTGCCATCGGCCAGCCTGTCAGCCCACTTCGCTCGCTCCTCTTCCTGTCGCAGCAGCAGCAGCAGCAGCAAAACCAATTGTCAAAGCATCATCGTTATCAGCATCGCAAAATGCAACAGAAAGACCAACACATGCGCCCTCACATCTCCAGCAGAAGTGACTGCGCGTGTGGAAGGCGGGTTGTGTGCGGTGGCTCACCCGCCGTTGCTCCATCGTCTGCCGCCGCTTTTGCGCTGCGCCGGTCACCTTGCTGGTGTGAGCCGCCTCCAGATCAGCCGGCAGCCGCGGGCTGCAGCACAGCTGCAGGTGCAGCGGACCCAGCACGCGCACACCTGCGCATGCAGCAGGCAGGTGTACCGGCAGGCAGACGGGGGCGCACTCGAAAGTTTCAGTTGGTGCAAGGAGGCGGCAGCAGAGCTGCGCATGCGGCAGGCCTAGCGCTTGCGCCTTTGTCTGAACGTGGGCAATTAAGCAGGCCAGCAGCATCAGGGAAGGGTTGTCAGTGTCGGCAGGGGGGCCGGGTAGCACAGATGCGGCTGCAGCGGGGGAACACACACACGCTTGGATGTGCAGAGGATGCGAGCAGTGCAGGCAGCAGATCGATGCCAACAGCGCAGACATGCAGACAGCACAGCAAATGCGGTGAATCATTGTGAATCGATATGAATCGTTATTCACCGTGGATCGACAGCCAGGAACAGGGCGTTGGCATCAGCAGACAGCGAGCGGACAGCATGCTGTCAGAGTAGAGCTGTAGCTCCTTGTTCAGGGCATGCAGGGCATGATGCACCGTCTCTGTCATAGTGCAAT